GGTATATGAGTGTATCTCTGCTTTAAGATCTTCTAGATGTTTCGTTCTTGGTATCAAAATGATCTGCTCTTTATTCCTCAAACAATGATGTACACTATGTGATCGTGAAATGCAATATACTATTTGTACCATATTTTGGGTAAAACTGCACCAATCCTCCAGAACAGCAATAAACATGCAAATGGGACATAAACAGAGACAAAGAAAGTTTCTCCCGCTCAAAATTCATGCCTCTGATTGGCTATCCCACCCAAAAGGTGGGTGTAGATAGGAACTTTCAAAAGTCATTAGCTCAGACTAATCTTGGCTCAAAATCTTTCTTCTTGAGACGGACACAATCCAAGAATCCTCAAAACTCTCCTTTTGAGTTTGATTTTTCCGGCAGTTTTTATCTTCAAGTAACTTTGTCGATCTCTTGTGGACTTTCCTATCTTCAGAGGAACCAGTGCAAAACCTCCAGCTCACTTCTAAAAGAACTCATCAAGAACCTCCGTTGTCTACCGCATCAGGACTCTTGTTCAGCAATCGAAGCCAATGCAAGTAACCGTTTACAACTATTTAGATGCGTGTTTAAGTTTGAGCCCCTTTTAATGTGATTTTTGATTCTTTGATGATTCTCATTAGGTTGTGGTTAATTGATGTGAAATACTGCCATTCTTTTGCTCTTCTCTCTCTCTTCCTTACTTTTCTTCATTCTGTATATATGTGTTTTGCTTAGTCTTGTTGTATGTTAGCTGTAGTTTCATTTATTAAATCCCTTATATTCACAATTGATTGCCTCTGTGTGCTGCTCACAATTTGGGGTCACTGAATGTTGAATCTTGCTACATGCTAAATTACTGCTAGTACTGCATAAAAGTAGGAAAGCTATTGTTCCTTGGCCAGGAAAATAATCTTTCCTTGAATTGATAAATGATTATATTGTCTGCTCGGTGGACGGACAGATCAAATAATTATAATATTGATTCTGCTACAGTTAATTCTAAGATCTAATCTAAATATTTATTATTAATTATAACCAGTTATTTCCATTTTGAGCTAATTTGCTACATTACTGATAGATTTCTGCTGGTGTCTTGGCTTTCCATGCCTTTTTGCACCTCCCTTTCTTCATGTGTTCAATACTTTTTCCCTGGGTCATTCCACTTTATTACACAGAACTTAATATCTGAACGTATTTGTTTTGTTTTCTTTGTATGTATGGATTGCTTGGGTTGTTACCGACATCTGGTGAAAATTTCATGTCAACAGCACCTTTAGAAATATATTTACTGAGAAAAATGGTGACATATTCAATACTTATTTTACCCTCTGTATATATAATTTTACTTTGACTAAAGTTGAATGGGTCCTATTATGCTTTTTCACTTTTTTTCGGACACCCTGCACCCCCTTGCAGTCTGTGGACCCTAGTTTGAAAAGCCCTGTTTTAGATTAGGCCCAGAGAGGACGAGGGATATTCTAGAGTGTGTAGATGAGGAGTCACTGTAAAGGGAACACACAGGGATCAGGATGACCCAAACAATCATGAGGCAGAACCACAACACATGTGACAAAATATGCAAGTTGAAACTTCTTAAATTCTTAAAAAAAAAAAAAAAAAACCTTTTAGCCTTTTACTTCCACAGAAAAACAAGTTTTAGGAGTATTCATGGAGTTCTTCATTAAAAGTGCATAGCATAAAATTGGTGGCTTGTGGGTAAAAGATCAAACTCTTAAGTAAAGGTGCTGACCCACGGACATAAGCTGTGGCTTTAGATAAGAAGATAAACTCCTCATTATAAAGGAATGGATACTTCGGCAGTGTGGCTACAAAGTCAGTGGGTTTGCTATGGTGTTCAGACTGGATTTTACTGTTTTGGATGGTCGCTTACTGGCACAAGTCATAAGAGCTGATTCCCAAGGTGCAGAAATTAAAAAGGGAGCAATATCAAGCTATATCTGTACGTGTGCATATGGGTTTTTGTGTTTGATTTGATCTCTGTGATTGGCCGTCTTACCTGTGGAGGTGTAGGAGTGGAGGAGGGCCGTCTCACAGGTGGGGTTGTGTTCCGACTTCCGCCCACCCCCGATAATATCTCATCTGTCACATCCTTGCCGCCCTGGTTGGGGTCTCGAATGCGGATCTTGGAGGACAATAAAGAGACGGATAATTAAATGATAAAGCATTAGAAACATCATCTACTACCTTTTCAGGATTTCTCAAGCCTTGTTAATGACATATGATTTTTTTCAATACAAATTTCCTGAAGGCATTATGGATTCTAGTTTACATACTGTTATAAAGTTACTCAATGATGACACTCACTGTTTTCTTTTCCCTCTTAGCAGGTGGAGGTTGTTGTGGTGTAGGCACTATAATGGATGGAGATGGTGTGTACATGGGCTGCCCAGGATAGTAGGGAGGTCCTGCTGCTCACAAACCACACAAGACCACAAGTTCCATATTAAGAACTAATTCACACCAAAATTAAAACTGTGCTGATTATTTCTGATTAATCAATTAATAGTATAACAAAACCTAATTTTAATTTCTATATATGCTGAAAAACATTATGCAAATTAAAGGCTATACTACAAATAGTGGTCGACCGATATTGTTTTTTTGACAGCTGATGCCGATATCTTGGAAAGCAGGGTGGCCGATGGCCGATATAAAGCCGATATAATTTTATTTATTTTATTTAATATTTAAGAAATTTGAAATCATTTGAAAATGGATTAAAAAATAAATGTCTAAAATAAACATGCTTATACTTTAAATGACAATGATAAAATGATAAACAAATATTTAATAAAAATATAATTAAAAAGGAAGTAAACACTGTAACCAACAGGGCACTCAGTATTCTGGGAAGTTTGTGTGCAATGGGAATCACATTTTTTTCAAATAAAGCCAAGGTAACACTCATTTTACATACAGCACACAGTGAAAATGACATGAATATGACATTGGGCAAAAGCATGAAGCCCAGCATAATTTGAAATCACAAGTTTAAAGTTTGTCGATCGCGCGTCTCAATGAAGCCGAACTCTCCTCCTGTTCGTATTCAATTTGCAAGGACTGACTGTCATGCAGAGTACACGCGATCATGCAGGATACAAATGCACACTTCATAAGATCTCACAACTGGATTCAACTAAGTTTGCAAGGTTTTTGAAATTAGATGTTCATTAGTCATTCAAAGATTTGTTTAAATTATATAAATGCGTATTTGCTGAATGCTGACGGCAAACGAGATAGTATTATAATGTTTGCCTTTCTATTACTAACAATATAAAAGCAATCGTTATAATACTTTTTTGTATATATTTAAATTCCTTTGTTTAACAGTTCTATCTGATTATTAGACAGACTTCTGTCCGTGTTAACAGAACTGTTAACGACGACAGCGAACAAGAGGGAGAATGTGAACACTGTGTGCTCAGACTCTGCCGTTCTCAGTGCTGTCAAAATAAAAGTCTGGCGCGCCACGAACGCATCGGCCAAACAGAAAAACTTATCGGCCGATGCCAATATTTGATAAATGCCAAATATCGGCCAATATATCGGTCTTGGCAATATATCGGTCGACCACTAACTACAAATATAAATGCATGAATGCAGGCTATGCTATGTGCAAAAAAGTTTAAAATATTTGACCCTGGACCACAAAACCAGTCTTAAGTCGCTGGGGTATATTTGTAGCAATAGCCAAAAATATATTGTATGTGTCAAAATTATTGATTTTTCTTTTATGCCAAAAATCATTAGGATATTAAGTAAAGATCATGTTCCATGAAGATATTTTGTAAATTTCCTACAGTAAATATATTAAAACTTAATTTTTGATTAGTAATATGCATTGCTAATAATTCATTTGGTCAACTTTAAAGGCGATTTTCTCAATATTTAGATTTTTTGCACCCTCAGATTCCAGATGTTCAAATAGTTGTATCTCGGCCAAATATTGTCCTATCCTAACAAACCATACATCAATGGAAAGCGTATTTATTCAGCTTTCGGATGATGTATAAATCTCAATTTCTTAAAATTGACCCTTATGACTGGTTTTGTGGTACAGGGTGACATATAAACAATTCATTAAAACAAATGTATAACAATTGTATAAATTTATATTAAAAACACACAAAAAAACAAAAAAACGGTTTAGAATGCAACAATGAAAAAAAAAACTCTATAAAGATTAAAACTTTACAGTATATAAACATGTATAAAACAAAACACTGTTTTAAATTCGTTAATGACATTAATTAAAGGTTATAAAATGAAAGGTTCTAAATACAAATATAAATGCATTAATGAAAGCTATGCTATATATTTTGTGCACAAAAAGTGTAAAATATAATAACTTTTTTTACTTTTATAACAATTATATAACTTTACATAAAAATTTATAAAACTATAAATGTTTGAAATTCAATACATCACCATCGATTTGCACAAAAAACATTTTTAAACTATAATTTATATAGTTGTTGCAGCAAAAGGAAATTGCATAAAAGTATATTAAAACTGCTTACAATCATATGCCACATTTTTCTGAATATATGTCAGCTAGTGAAATTGTGAAAACACTTTACAACTGAACAAAAAAAAGTAACTAAAATAATTAACCAAAACAAATGAATATGATCAACATTCACATCAGCATGATAATTAAATAAATAAAAATTTAGACTTACTGTACAACATTAACACAGTAAACAGCAAATCAATGCAAGTCAGCAGACTACATGAGAAAGTCAACAGTAATCCACAGGTGACCGACAAGGAGGAAAGGAGGGTGCTAATCTCACCATACGGTGCAGGAAAGTCCCCTGGACTGGGTCCAGCATAGAAGGTACTGGGTCCAGTGGGCTGGACTGGGTACTGTTGAGGAGGCCCCACATATGGAGGAGCACTGTGACGGTACTGTAGTATTACAAATGACAAATGAGTGAAATATAATTGTAAACAATTAATTAACCGAAAAAAACTCTGTAATGAAATTTGTACATAAACAACACAACAAAGTCTAGCACATTAAAACATCCTGATGTAAACACACAGTCCAGATATAGTAAGTGTAATGTGATTCCTGTCTGCAGTCTTGTGCCGTCTGACCTGAGGGATGTAGTACTGCGCTGTCTGTGGGGAAGGAAAGGGCATGGGAGCCATGGTCATCATGATGGGCTGATTGTGGGGGTAGACCGCTGCTGTGGGGGTCTGAGACATGGGCCGAATGGGAGGGTTGTTGCTTGGAATGGTGGGCCGCGCCGTTTGCATCTGCGTCCTCTGGAAAAACTGTGAGGAGAGAGAGGAGAGATCAGTTATGTGGCTCACCTTTGGAAACACTGGCAAACTGAAAAGTGTAAGATTTCAGCCATGTTGTGTATCTAAGATGAAGTCCATTGAATAAGTAAACATATTTGTAAAACTACTTAACTAAAAGCATGCAAGAAACAAAGACAACACACATCATTCTAAGTAACATGCACTTAAAGGGGTCATATGATGCGATTTCAAGTTTTCCTTTCTCTTTGGAGTGTTCCAAGCTGATTGTGCATAGATAAGATCCCTGAAGTTGCAAAGACTAAAGTCTCAAAACCAAAGAGATATTCTTTATCAAAGTTAAGACTCTGCCACGCCCCCCTAAATTTTGTCTTTACATTTATTTTAAAAGATGAAGCTCGCGATTATGGTAAGGTGCGTTACATTTCCGACGAGTGCTTACGGTGTTCGGACAATCACAATGCACTGGGTCAGCTGGCCAATCAGAGCAGATTGCACTTGTCGGAAGGAGGGACTTTGTAGAAAACGAAGCGTTTGAGAGAGGCGGGCCATATAGGACCTACAAAAATATACAGTATTTGAAAAATAATGTGTTTTTTGAACATTAAAGCATGTCAACATATTCTGTTACACCAAATACACAAAATAATGATCTTTAAAAAAGCATCATATGACCCCTTTAAAACAATACATAAGTATTAAAATATTAAAATAACGACTTTATTCAACAATTCGTCTCCTCCGCGTCACCCTGACACCATTTTGGAGAGTATCCACTGAACGTAAACAGCGTATGCTGTTCTGTGTCAGCTGCGTCACGCGGATACGCTGTTTTCGTTCAGATCAAAGTGTAAACGACATAAACAGCATATCCACGTGGCGCAGCTGACACAGAACAGCATATGCTGTTTACATTCAATGGATACTCTCCAAAATGGCACCAGAGTGATGCGGAGCAGGGCTGTGCGATATGGACAAAAAAAACTACCGCGATTTCTTTGATCAATTTTGTGATTTCGATTTTAATCACGATTTTGACACATACAGACATGCTTTACAGTCATTAATGCATTCAGTGTGAATTTGAAACATATTTCCAAAAGAAAGCCAATTAGAGCTTTATCAAAAAGCTGTAACATGTCTCTAGAAAAGACATAAGGCAAAATAATCACTAAGTAAAGGTGTAACAAAATGTCTCTAAAATAGACATATATGGCAGAAAAAATAAAACAAAAATCCTGTGTTTTTTTTTGCCATGCATTGGTCATAGAGCTCTTTGTGGCGTTGCCTCAGATGTTGAACTAGATTTGTTGTGCCAAGTTCACACGTACTCTGTCTGCAGAGCGTATACAGTATGTGTAAGCGGTGCAGAAGCAGCACGGACTCATTTTGCTTTCGCACAGGACGCGTTTGCAGTCCGCTCCTGATCCACGGCTGTTTACCACAAACACAACATTTATCCATTATTTTGATTTCAAATCCAAACTTTGTTTCTGAAAATGCTTTTTCAGCATTGTGATTCTCTTTTATCACAGTACAGTAATATTTTATATACACAAATCTTTCATAGGCATATTCATGTTTAAACTCAATAAATCTTCTTCATCTATTGTTGCCTTGTTTATCTAAAAGTGCACTTTTCCTTGTTTTAAATCTAGCCAAAAAAACATGTGTTGACTGTGAAACAGTAGACTT